TCCGTTCTGCCATCAGCAGTTCACGACCCGTAGGTTACTTCGCTAGGGTAGCCATTTCCGAAGAATATCCCCGTCAATTTATCCAGCTTCTCGTCCCAGAATTCTACACCTGTTAAGCGTAGGCTTCGGATGATCATGCTCCTTATTATTCCTATCTTTATGGACAGCTTCTTTTTAAGCGTCTCATTAGAGCGAATAACTTCAATGTCCAGGAACGGTAACCGCTCACCTTCCTCTACTTCCATCATGAATTGAATTTGTTTATCAATCTGGTTTATAAAATTCAGAAACTCTTTCAGTTTTTCTCTTCCATGTGACCAATGTGCGAAGTAATCATCCAGGTACCGCATGAGCACTGCCGGTTGTAGCGGTGCCATCTTGAAGTTCTCTTCTATTTTGTTCATGTATACGTTTGCCAAAAGTAGTGACAGCGGTGACCCCGTGGGAAGTCTAAATATTTGTTCATAGATATTCCTGTTGAATGTAGAATAGGTTTTCCTTATTGTAAAGTTGATTAGTCTTATTAATGACTTCATTCTGATCCGTTGTGATTCCAGGTTATCCTCCTCTCGGTTCATGATTTCCTGCAGGGCGCATTTTCTCCAAAGATATTTGTATACATGGATTCCACATTTAAACTTACAAATAAGTCCGTTTCTTCCATTGCCATATTTTTGAATTCTTGAGAAAATTCATATGAATGTTTCACCGTGTTTGATAGCCTCTCATTTACTCTATTGAGTTTCAAGCATATTAAGTTTGTCTATTTCTATTTTGCTCCATACTTAATGCTGACAATCAGCCATAGTGGCTCGCCTTCTTTGTGAATCTTCAGTTATCCGTAGGCAGTTAGTGGTCGTGCGCCCTTTCTTATGATTGAATTTCTTGTCCATTTGTCAATTTCCCCGTTCCTACGCCTATTTTTTAGCATGGCACTCAAGATTCCATTGATCTTCATAGTTGAGTCCTTGTTAAGTTTACGATATGTGGTCCTGTCTCGTAGAATATGTTCAATCTTCTTGGTAAATTGTTTTTTGTCCATTATCACTATAGCTCCTCTTTTGTCCGCCTGAAGGACTAATTGTTCATTCGTTTCCAGGATTTTGCGTATTCTGGCAAATCTGTTCCTTTGTGTAGGTCCCTAATGTGTCAAGATCTTTGGAATTTGTTTCATCTCCATTTCCCGTTTTATCACCTCAGGGAACCTGCCAGAAATATTGATAACCTCCACCAGGATGTCTTCTAGAAGGCTTTTTTATGCTGAATTAAAAAATGGAGTCCTTTTTCCAGGAACGCGGTTATTTCGGGATTGATATGAATTGATTATAAGTTTAATACCTTCTTCCGATCGTCGTGCTGATCAGTAGGTATTGTCACTTCGTAAACCACTTCTACTGGGCGTACTGGCTTTAACATAGTCTGTCTTATACTGCCATGCTTGCGCAATCGATTGCCAAGTTGCGACAACGAGGTCAACCCACTTTTACTAAGTTTATATTTTTGATTAAAATGTGGTAATTTGCCTTGTATCTTCTCTATTCCGAAAAATATAATCCTCAAAGTGCAGGGCTAAAGAAGTTCGTTAATAAATTATTATTTGCTTTTTTTTAATTAATGCGGATAACTATAATAATTCTGCCTGCTTACTTGTATTTATATTCTCTCTCTTCAGTTCCTGACACATTCATAATTCAAGTGCTTAAAGAACGCCTCACTCAATATGACTGTACTACTCTTGGTTGGGTGCTGCATGGTTATCCACGCTCCAATCACCAGGCTAGCCTTCTAAATTCCGCTGGACTTGAGCCAGATCGTGTGCTTATGCTCGATATTCCACACACCACAGGATCTGAACGGCTTTCTGGTCGTGCGGTCGATGCCGTAACCGGGCAGCGATATCACAACTTACATGACCCACCACCAACATCCCAAAACCCTACAAGTTCTGAGGGAAGTAGATCTGATGATATCAGATCAAACCCTCGAATTGTGCAGGCTCCAGATGACCGTGAGTGTGAGGTCGGTGGCCGATTAGCCTGTTATGCAGCACACCGAGATGAATTGATCTTCTTCTACGGAAACACCTTGCAGCGGATAGATGCAGACCAAGATGTTCACACAGTTTTTGAGGAGGTTGAGGCTAGAGTTGTTAATCCTATACCACGTCGATTAATTAACTAGGATTACAAATAAGTCATTCAACTTTTTTGCAAGTCAAACATCTATAAGAGTGCTTCAGGGCATATAAACACTTATACATCTTGAAATTAATTAGTTATATTTTTTCAGCGCGTCGGCCACTTTACATAATTCTAAGGAAAATTCTCTATAAAGTAACTGTTTTGTGATATAATTGAATGACTAAAGTACAGAGAATATAATGCTTATTTAATCCTTATTCCTTATCCCCTTGGCTCTTTCCTATAACTCCAAATATCCCTGTATCCGCTTAACCAAACTCTATTTAATTATCTACTTGATATACTTATCTAATCGTCTATCTCACCATTTAAATTATTATCCCTTCACCATTATACTTAAACAAATATGTTTAACTTTTTATCTGGACGTGCGTACTTTATGGTTAAGAGACAGGCTTATAATTCAGCCTTTTTATTCCGCTGATATTCACTATACACATTTCTTAATATATTCATCCTATGCTGGACATTTCTTTCGTACATATTTCTTCTTTATTTGAAGCAATTTTTTTCAGCGAATCCAGTACGCTAGATTTAATCTATACAAACAAATTTATCTTTCATTATGGCTATAAAGAATATATATGAAACCTAATAATAAATTTCCCTATTTAAAAAATGCATGTATTTTTCCTGATTGAATTACCGTCCTTGCAAATAAATATTTATTGATAGATTTTTAACCTGGTTGTTCGTTAAATCTTTGTCCTGCGCACGTGAAGTATGTGAAAAATCAACCGACTTGATTTAGTTGCTACTGTTTATTCGAACAGATGGATTCAGATGATGCCATTGATAGGGTAACCATCATGCGATATATGCGTATTCATCACATTCTGGAGGTTTTTGAGGTAATTATAATTAAATTATCTTTTTTTTATACTAGTGTTTAAAATAGAGACTGCTGTTAATGCAGCTCCATATTCCTTTTACCATGCGGAACATTTAATTTTTATCTTGCGCAATTAACAACTATTTATTATGTT